GCCCCTACCATTTCTTATCCAACATCTTCAAAAAAGGTAGAGGTAGGCCTAGAAGGGACAATGCTAAGGGTTCTCTAGCCCCTTCTAAAAATATATTTGAAATCCTCAATTCTATTGAGGAATCTCCTCCTTTAGGAGTTCCTCAAAGAAAACCCAGAGCTGCTTTATTAGGAGTTAATGTTTTAATTAATGAGATGAAAATAAAGAAAATAGTCCAACTTGACAAAGGTAAACCTCAATCAGTTGCCAGTCATAGGGGTTCCTTGGGAACACCACCCCAATGATTATCAGTTTTTGGAACATAAGAGGACTCAACAGTCCTCTTAAACAGAATAAAGTGGCACTTAGAGCCCTACAAAACAATATGGATATTCTTTGCCTTTTGGAGACCAGAGTAAAAGTTGAAAAATCAGAATCAATCATTAATTCAAAATTCTCTAATTGGAATATTTGCACCAATTATGATCATGCTTCTAATGGAAAAATTTGGTTGCTTTGGAGGAAGGGAATCGATTTAACTATCATTCAAGTTTCTCAACAGTGTATCACTGCTAAAGGGACTGCTTTTGGTAATACAATCTTTATTTATGCAATCTATGGCAGTAATGAAGGGATCAACAGACGACTGCTGTGGCATAAGTTAAAGGAAGTTAGCACTATTGTTAATCAAGCCCCTTGGGTCTTAGGAGGAGACTTTAACATATTCCTGCATTCTCACGAAAGCTCTGATCATGAGCTGTTAGGTCCTTATTCCTCCCCAGATATGAAGGATTTTCAAGAATTCACTAATGAGCTTGAACTCGTTGACCATCCTTATTTTGGTCCTATGTTTACTTGGAGTAACAAGCAACATGAATTCTTTCTTGCAAGGAAGCTCGACAGGATTCTGATTAACTCAAGCTGGGATTCTTTCTTTCAACACTCATTTGTTGAATTCCTTTCCCCTGGAATCTCCGATCACAACATGGCCATCATCTGACTCTCTAAAGATAACCTTGCCACCAGACCTAAACCATTCAAATTTTTTAATTTCTGGGCTTCCCATCCCTGTTTCACCAATCTGGTTAGGGACTCGTGGAATCAAGAAGCCTTTGGCGATCCCATGTTGATTCTTTTCTTAAAACTTAAGAGACTCAAACTCTGTCTCAAGTCTTTCAACAAAGATAACTTTAGCAACATTGCAGATCGTGTGAAACTAAAAAGAGCTGAATTGGAAAATCAGCAGCTTCTTACTATGAATGGTGAGGATTCCATTGTGAAGGAACTTAACTTTCAAGACCAGCTGAAGGCTCTGGAAGAAACTGAATCTCTGTTCCTTAAACAAAAGGCTAAAATTCATTGGATTAACGATGGTGACAAAAACAATAAGTTTTTTCATTCAATTGTTGCTTCCAAAAAAAAAGGATACTATTAGAGTCTTTATTGATGACAAGGGCAACAGGCTTGAAACTTTTGATACCATGGCTAATAAGGTTACCTCTTTTTTCACCCAGCTTCTTGGTACTATTGACCCTATGGTCAAGGATATCGAACCCTCCATTTTCAAAGATCTCCTTAACTATTATTTTTCTATTGAAGCTTTCTCTTCCCTTGTTAAGGAGGTCTCCACTGAAGAAAACCATTATGCCTTATTCTCTTAAGGAAATGATAAAGCACCTGGCCCGGACGGATTTTCTCCTTTCTTCTTTAAGAAGTATTGGTCTATAGTGGGAGAAGATGTTACCAATGCAGTGAAGTACTTTTTCTGTAATGGTTTAATCCATCCAGCTTTCAATTCCACTATCATTGTTCTTGTTCCCAACCCTTGTGCTGTCAAAGACTATAGGCCAATATCCTGTTGTTCTGTCTTATATAAGATTATCTCTAAAATCATTATCAGCAGAATGACATCATTTATGCCCCAGATTATCACTTTGAACCAGACTGCTTTTATTCGTGGCCGTACCATCATCGATAACTCTCTTCTTACTTAGGAGATGGTCAGAGGATATGGAAGGAAAACTTCATCTCCAAGATGCACAATGAAGATTGACCTTCATAGGGCATTCGATTCACTGTATTGGAGATTCATCTTATCAATCCTTAAAGCGCTCGACCTGCCTCTTATTTTTATTGCTTGGATTGAATCTTGATTCTCCCAATCTCGTTACTCTATTACGTTTAATGGTACCTTGATAGGTTATTTCAAAGGGGCAAAATGTCTAAGACAAGGGGACCCTCTTTCCCCTTATCTCTTCATGCTTGCTATAAATGTACTTTCTAAAATGCTTAATCTTACTGCAGCCAAAGGTCTCTTTGCCTATCACCCTAAATGCAAGAAAATTGGGCTTACTCACATCTCATTTGCTGACGACCTCCTGATTTTCTGTAAAGGAAACGCTGATTCAGTGGCAGGTGTATTGAGTGTTCTTCATCAGTTTTATCAAATTTCAGGCCTGAAATTAAACTCGTCCAAATGCGACCTCTTTTATTCTGGTATTTCTCCTTCGGTTCTACAGAATCTGGAAAATATCTCAGGGTTTAAAATGGGATGTTTACCAGTTAGATACCTAGGTATCCCCCTTGTCACCCGTAAACTTTCTATGAAGGACTGTGAACCCTTGCTTGACAAAATTAGACAGAGATTGCACCACTGGTCTGCTAGAAACCTTAGTTATGCAGGTAGACTAGAACTTCTCAGATCAGTTTTAATCATCGTTAGTAACTTCTGGTGTAGAAAATTAATCTTACCTACTTCTATCTTAAAATATGTGGAGCAACTATGCTCAAGGGTTTTTTGGAAAGGGGCAGACAAAAAGGCAACATGAGCAAGAGTAAGTTGGGATCAAATATGCACTATTAAGTCTGAAGGTGGTTTAGGCTTGAAAAATATTCCCACATGGAACAAAGCTTGCATAATTAGTCTCATAAGGAAGATTCTTGCTGGAGACGGTTCGCTTTGGGTCGCTTGGCTCAATCACTACGTTTTTAAGCATCAAAGCTTTTGATAGTTTGAAGCTGAGATCTCTATCAGCTAGGGTATTCGTAGAATACTCAATTTGAGGGCCACGACTTATCCCCTGTTTTCTATAGGCACCCTACAGACCAAGGAAATTTGGGACAATATCCGGATGCAACGACTGAAAGTGCAATGACACAAGCTTATTTGGTACCCTATGCACATTCCAAAGCACATCCTAATTGTGTGGATGACCTTATTAATAGGCTGCCTACTAGAGATCGACTTCAAATAATGGGAATCACCACTGATGGAACTTGCGTTAATTGCAGGAATAACAACGAAACAAGGGATCATCTGTTTTCTCTTTGCCCCTTGGGAGTTGATCTTTGGAGAGCTATCATTCATTTGAACGGAATGAACTTCACCGTTCTGCCTTGGGATGATATGGTTTATCAAATTTGCTTAAAATGGAAGGGGAAATCTCTTATTATCACTATCTTGAAAATTGCTTGGAATGCTTAAGTTTACTCCTTGTGGCAAGAACGGAATCGAAGGATATTTCAAAGGCAGATCCCGTTCCATTGATAATTTGCTCAAAGATATCATGGAAGTAGTTAGTATGCGGCTTAGAGGGAAATCTATTAACAGATTAGATAGCACTAATTTCTTTCTATGTAATGCTTGGGGCATAGTTTAACCAATCATTGTTTTTTGTTCTAGTTTTGTTATTTTTTTGATTGGTTGATTGGTTGTTGAACTTTGTTACTTTGGATAATAAAAATTTTGATTTATTAAAAAAAAAAGAGATAAAAATAATTGAGTGATTAATAATGTAATTTACCTAATTTATAACAGTAAGAATTAACGGAACAATTAGTCTGACTGAAAAAGTTAATCAAATAATTTTATTGAATTTTTTTAAGTTAAAAAGTCACATTCATCCAAAAAAAAAATAAACACATTATTTTTTTTAAAGTTAGGACCTCATGTAACTTTTTGCTTTATTTTTAATTCTATTTAAAAATAAATAAATAGGTTTCATTTCAGTGAATAAAGGATAATAATCCATTAAATAAACATTAACATTTATTTTTCTAATACAAGTTTTTTAACAAATGAAAATTTTCAGTAAACTATATTTTTGATAAAAAAATATTAAGTTTTTACTGTATTAAAAGAATATTTTGGAAATAATAAATTTTGTTCACTCTCACAAACGTCAAAATAACTTGGATTATAGAATATTACTTCCATATTAGTTAGATAAAAAAAATTTAAAACTAATATTTTTTTTACGAGAAAAACGTTATTACTTTGTTTATTTATTTGATTTTTTTATAGTTTAGATTTAATACTTAAATATTAAGTTTGTTATTGACGCACTGTTACTGCTGTTATGGTCGTCATCACTGCATTAAAGCAAGAAAAAGAATTTATTTTTTAAATTTATGGATTAATATCTGATCTAATTATTATTTAAAATAAGATTATAAAAAATAATGTAATTAATATTTTATTTTAAATAATTTACATTTATATTTTTAATTAATTTATAATTACACGTTAAGTACTTTATAATTTTAAAATTTTATAAATTAAATTAATAGTACTCATCGATATTCGCCAAATATTATAAAATTTTATTTTATAATAATCAATTGAATTATACTACGTATAACTTAATATCTCTAACGTTTTAATCAGTCACTGCCAAATCAATAACCTGATTAATTTTTTTAAAATAAATAATAATAATAATTATTGAAATCATTGATTCATACAAATATCAAATTAATATAAATATTAATTTAAAAAGTTTTCCAAATTCATGAACCTCCTAAAAAATTGAAATATGGAGTGAATATTTTTTTACCAATTTTAGATTTAACCAGAAAAAAGATAGTATACATACAATGTTGACAGGCAGCACGGCAGTTGCACTGTGATAAATGGAAAAAATATTATTTTTTTAATTATTTTATTGATCAGATAAGTCTGCACTGCCAAAGATAAGGACAGGTTAGATTTTTTAAGTACGCCTCTCAATGTTCTGTTCTAGGGTAGTTTGCGTTTTGCAGGCCGAGAAAAAATGGGAGAAACAAAGAGTTTAGCGGTGGTGGGCGGTGGACAAATGGGTTCGGGCATAGCTCAACTCGGTGCCATGCACGGTCTCCGTGTTTGGCTTCTTGATACCGATCCTGCCGCTCTTTCCAAAGCCACTCAATCCATCTCTTCTTCCCTTCAACGTTTTGTCTCCAAAGGACAACTCTCCCAGGTAAACAAAGTTTGGGTCTTTTTTCCATCTTTCTTACATATATATATGTTGTTGATCAAAAACTCAATTGAATGAAACCTAGATTGGGTTTGAGTTAAAACGGATTGAAAAGTTACCAGAATAGGTAAAAGGGATTGATCTTGGTTAGAGCTTGTGTTTGGGCTTAGGGTTGGAAATCTGAGAAATTTGTAACTCAGTAATTGATGGAAGGTTTGAGTGGTTGAGCTTTTTTGATGAGATGGTTATCAGTTTCTGATTTTGATTCATTTCAGTGTAAACTTTGTGGAGGAATAGGCTGCCTGTGTTAGTGCTGTTAATTGAAGTTTCATGATGTTTAGTTGGAACAGCTGCATAGGTTGTTGGCTAATAAATTCTTTTTGGTCTGGTTTTGAACTTTGTTTAGCAATCAAATGTTGTTTAAAGTCATAGTTTTGCCATGAAGATCGCCCTTAATGCGGTGAAACAGGGCATCCTTGCCTGTATTCCTGTTATTTGCATGCATACAGTGATTTTTGTAACATTTGGGTCAAAGCATTGATGTTATGTGTTAAACTGAAAGTGTTACTGTTAACTTACCTCTAACAAGGTTGCTGGTTTTCCATAATCCGTTCTTCCTTTTTCTAGTAATATGAAGCGAAATAAGTTAACATCAAACTCTTTTTTTTCTATTCGAACTCAGATGTGAGAGTTGGAAACATATATGTTCAAGTTTTTCTATGTTTCTGCATGTATTTGGAACTCATATCTGGTAACAGGGCTGTTCATGTACGGTTAACCGTACCGTTTAGCCTAAATGGTCAGTTAACCGTTATTAACGGTTCGGTTACAGGTTAACCTACGGTTATCATATTACAATTATTTGTCAATATTTTTTCATAATTCATAATACAAAAAATGTAGCACTTAACACATACTTACATATGTGTAAGTGAATAAAATAAATAAGTGTAGCACTTAACACATACTTACACCGGTGTAAGTGAATAAAACAAAAAAGTGTAGCACTTAACACATTCTACACCGGTGTAAGTGAATAAAATAAAAAAGTGTAGCACTTAACACATATTTACAACAGTGCAAGTAAATAAAATAAAAAGTGTAGCAGCTAACACATACTTACACCGATGTAAGTTACATCTCCCAATATCGTAGTACCTAACAATAACATAAACATATAATTATATTGGTGCAAGTATGTTTCTATATTTTCAAAGAAATAAAAATTAAAAATAATAAAAAATATATATTAAGTTATTTGTATACAATTTTTTTTAAATATATAAATTATAAATAATAGAAAATTATATTAAGTTATTTATCTAAAAATATAATAAATTATAAATTTAATTTATACCGTTTATCAAAATTTGTAACTGTAACCTTAACCATTAACCATCATTTTTAGCGGTTCGGTTAACTGAAACTGTTTAGTATTAACGGTTCGGTCAATTAACCTGTTAAATATAACGATTATACCGGTTAACGGTTACTATTAATGGTTTCAGGTTTTTTTTAACACCCCTACTTTTACGCACTCACATGGATGGCAAACACATATGAAGGAAAACAAACTGGGGGAGTAGTGAACAATAGTACTGAAGATTCTTGATTTAATAGTACAAATTTTATTTTGTATAACGTCTTGTATGTTAAATTCTTTCATTGATGGTTCTTATGCATTTTCTGATAAACCTTATAATAGAACATTGTTTCATTTGACAGGCTGCTCGTACAGAAGCTTTGAAACGTATTGAATGTACTTTAAATATAGAAGACCTACGGTCGGCTGATTTCATTGTCGAAGCAATTGTAGAATCAGAAGACGTGAAGAAAAAGTTGCTTATCGAACTTGATAAGATTGCTAAGAGTTCAGCCATTTTAGCATCTAATACAAGTTCCATCTCCATTACTCGGTTAGCAACTGCAACCAGCAGACCGAGCCAGGTTTGATTTGGAGCCATGTTTGGGTTTATTTTGATGCAATTGACAATCAAATGCAAAATCACGTAACGTTTGTTGAGATTGAAGCAAACATGTTCTTGTGCAGGTCATTGGAATGCATTTCATGAATCCTCCTCCAGTAATGAAGTTGGTTGAGATTATTCGTGGTGCAGACACATCAGATGAAACATTTCATGCGACAAAAGCATTGGCGGAGAGGTAATGTGTGATTAAAGAATGCATGCGAAGAAAAGAAACATAAATAACTTCCTTTAACTAGCACTATTGGCTTGTGCATGTGTTAGCTAGCTATCTAGCATGGTCACCTCTGTTCCAAGTTGCAAATTTCACTAGGATCTGATGATAAATAGTACTCGACTGCCATTTTAACCGGACCAATAATTAACAGGTTTCGCAAGACGGTAATCTGCTCTCGGGATTATTCGGGCTTCATCGTGAATCGAATCCTCATGCCAATGATAAATGAAGCATTCTTCACACTTTATACTGGGGTGGCCACCAAGGAAGATATCGATACAGGGATGAAATTAGGGACAAACCAGCCAATGGGTCCCTTGGAGCTTGCAGATTTCATAGGACTGGACGTGTGCTTATCGATAATGAAAGTTCTACATACCGGTCTGGGTGACAGTAAATATGCCCCCTGCCCTCTTCTCGTGCAGTATGTTGATGCCGGTCGTGTTGGGAGAAAATGCGGTGTCGGGGTATATGACTACCGTAAACCATCTCCCCGACTCTGAATATATTCTTATTTCATAGATCATGAGTAACAAAAGCAGTGCCTGAATAAAGTTCATAAGTCATATCTTGAGTCGAGAACTGGCAGGAAGAGTTCCTGAAATAAATTGGTATAGAAATGTACCTTTTTTTAATCCCTTTACCATTTCTATTGCTTAAATATTTAATTCTTTTAGTGGCCATGCTCTGTTACATACCAATTGATTCAATTTTATATAAAAAAAATTGAATTATTGACAAACATAATCCTTAGCAAAATAAAAAAAAAACCACACTTCTGTTTTTTTCCCCTTTTAAAACCCATATCATAATCTTCTACTTTAAAACCCCCTCAATTATGGATAAGTTTTTTTTCAACTTCATCCTCATGGTAATAATGCAAATTGCAAATTCATGTGTGCCATATATTGCTTGCCAGTTGAGGAGACCAATAGTAGAAGGCAAGGAAAATTTAAAAAATCCTCCTTTTTCCCCACAGATGATGGCCAGGGTGATCCACAAGGACTAAACCCCAAACCCTATTAGGGATCATCAATTCACCAGTTGTTTCCCTAACCCTAAAGTTGGCATTATTAGGCACCATCTTTCCTTTATTGGAAGTGACTGAATTGTAATCTATCAGGGGTCGTTACAACATATAGCAAAATAAAAACAACATTATCACACACCCCGTATAATTGAAAGGTAAAAAAAAGGACTTTCAGGACATATTTTGAAACCCAGAAGAAAACCAGACATGAAGTTCTTGTTCCAGTGTCCTTGCTGTTCTTGTTTCTACTTCATGAAGCCTAAGCAAGGGAAACAAAAAAATGAAGGATGCTCCTAAGGTGGAGAAAAACAAGGAAGTGAAAGCTGATAAGGCAAAGTGAATTTTCTTCTTCTTCTTCTCAAATAAATTGTATGAAATAACTTTTTATTTATCCAGTGTCCTTGCTGTTCTTGTTTCTACTTCATGAAGCCTAAGCAAGGGAAACAAAAAAATGAAGGATGCTCCTAAGGTGGAGAAAAACAAGGAAGTGAAAGCTGATAAGGCAAAGTGAATTTTCTTCTTCTTCTTCTTCTTCTTCTCAAATAAATTGTATGAAATAACTTTTATTTATCCAAGTTTGCATGAAAATGTTGCTTTTTCGTTATGGTATTATTATTGCATTGAACTGATAATAAAAAAAGGACATTTCAATTATGTTTTTATCTGTGTATTTTGGTTCGGTTCATGTTCTGTAAATTTTGGTTGTCGATCTATATCACATCGATGATCGATGACTCTGTTTCGTTCTAACTTGACCGATGTCCTTGAAAGAATGGCCAGATCCGCTTGTATACCTACATTTTTCTATGAATTCAAGCGGTAAGTTTTCATGTTCTACCTTCCCACAATTTAACATCTCAACGTGGAATTTTGGTTGGCATTTCCCTGAGAATTTATTTGCTAGAAAATTTCTGGCATTCAAGAATTCGAACATTCATCATGTTTGAGTTTGTCGATACGACATTGTGGTTTATCGTGCAAGTAGGGGAGCAATCTAGTTTCACAAGCTCGTGCTTTACCCAAAATTTGAGACGGCCTGTTTGATTCAGCTTGATTATCTAGTATAAACAAAGTTTGGTTGTGTCCGTAGTTCGAATCTCGACTTTTATTGGATTAAGACACTAGATCCCTTCAATAAGGTCAGTAGTTCGAATCTCGAGACACTAGATCCCTTCAATAAGGTTAGTAGTTCGAATCTCGACTTTTATTGGATTAAGAAAGTTATCCAATAATGGAATTTATAATGTTTGATCCAAATTAATCGATCAATAGATCATATATACATCGTTAAATAAAAAAAATTGCTAGTTCATAAGTTGATAAAATTAAGTATTAGAATACCAATTGTATCAAGGAGTACATTGTTTTTAATACGGTAGGGTTCATCATGGTAGAACCACATAAGATTGGGTCTTGACAAAGCCCAACGAGTAACAGAATGCACAGCTTTAGTGGCTACTCTATTAACATACATAACTTTAATTGAAGGGTACCTAGCGAGAGCTTCATAAGCTTTGTTGAGCATCAATCCTATTACTGACAAATCATCTTCCCGATTAGTAAGTCGTTTGACGATGGAAATAGCATTTCTCCTTGTCCCACTCATTCTCAATGGTCATTCGGATACCATAGGAGAAGGCCATAGCCTCAGCTGCATCGTCGAGTAGGTACCTTCGAGTTTGCGAACACTGCCTTCAATCACCATTCCATTATGGTCACGAGCGATAATTCCCACAAGGATCTTGCCTTGAAGACATGAAAAATGAGCGAGGGATTATGAATGAATTTCCAGATTTGATTCTCAAGGAGCGTAAGATTGAAAAGCTTTAAATCTCTGAATCTCATACCCCCATCTCTCTTAGCTCGACAAACTTTGTTCCATGCAAGTGGATTTCCATTACGTATATCGAATTTCATTAATGTTATATTAATTTAGGTGCACTTAGGTACTTGTGTTACATGACAAGATAGTTTTGGTTCATTTCTAATTAATTTTATTTACTTTATCAATTATGGCAAGAAAAAACGTGTAAAATATCTAGTACCAGGACGATATTATGATACGGCGGAATCGAAAATCTTAACATTCATCAAGTGTTATGAATAAGTTATTCTTATAAGAAATGAACGAATGTTGTTTCATCAAAATAGTCAGATTCGTTAATGGATACATATTAAAAATAGCGACCGAGAAGATTATTCTTATCAAACAAATAAAATTAATCAATAACAGTTAAATAAATTATGATGACTTCAAATTTAATGGTATATAAGCAATGTTCTAATAATATCTTTTCTATTTTGAACCTAAAATAACTAAAAATAGAATCAAAATTCCACTATATATACAAGTTCATTGCATAATTGTAAATCAGTTGATAGAAATATCTTATCTATTAAGCAGTGTCTTAAGATATTTCTATCAGTTCCTAATGGATTTCTGGGTACTATTTGTTGTCATGTATTCTTTCATATTCAGCGGGGTTATCGGATATCCTTTGAATGATCAAATAGGAACATTGCCTGGACAACCAATTGTCAATTTCAGGCAGTTTTCTGGGTATATTGATGTTGATCCAGAGGCTGGCAGAAGCCTTTTCTATTATTTTGTCGAAGCCGAAAACGATCCAAAGAATCAACCCCTCACAATTTGGCTAACGGGAGGTTTGTTACTTTTCGATTTCACCGTTACTAAAAATGATTATATGAACCAATTGGATTAAATTTCGAGTTATTTTTTCCCTGAAAAATAGTAGAAGTAAAATAATATATATCGATAAAAAGTGTTTAAAATTGATGATAATTTCAGGACCAGGATGCAGTTCGGTTGGAGATAGCTTCGTCGGTGTCGGTCCTTTCATTACAACAAATGATGCTCGCGGCCTCGAGAGAAATCCACATGCTTGGAATAATGGTTGCTTTTCTCTTTAAATATTCTTATACATATGGTTCGATGTATCAATTGATTTAATTCAAAATTCTTTTTTATATAAATTTCAGTGTCCAATATTCTATTTATCGATTCACCTGTTGGAGCTGGATGGTCGTATTCAAACACAAGCGATGATTATATAGTTGGAGATCATAGTACAAGTATGGCCATGTCGAAACTCAATACTTGTTTTTCTTCTTATTTTCCCTATTAGAAAAAAAAAAGACCGACAATTCTTAAATTTTTCCTCCATTGCCTCTTACAGATAATGATCTGGTTACATTCATACTGAAATGGTTCGAAAAGTACCCGATTTTCAAGTCTAGAGATTTATATGTTTGTGGAGCAAGTTATGCAGGTTCGTTCAATGTATTTCATTTACCTATTTATGGCCCATAAACCGTAAGAGAGAAGAATTTATCATTTCGATTGATTTATCTAATCAAATTCGAAATTTAATCAATTAGTTGATAAATGTAAGTCTTAATTAACCTAATAAAAAGGATTTAACATCGGTTGGTTAAGTCGATTGGTCTTAACCAACCGATGAAATCCCAACTTTGTCAACCATTTAAATTAAATTAAATCAAATTAAATAACATATATTTATGAAAGTTGTTGTTTCCTCAGGGCACTTTGTACCCAACTTTGTCAACTCCTTACTTCAATATAACAAGCAATCAATGAATTTCAAGTTTAACATCAAAGGATTAGCGGTAAGAAGCTCGATCTAATTCTATTATGAAATTGATCATTTCGTTTATGTTACTAAAATTTGACTTATGATCTCATAAATTGGGATTCTATCGTTTTACTGAAAAACATATGATTATTAGGGTTTAATTTATAATATTGATTTTCTTAAGAATTTTAGAGTTCTTTCTAATATCGAAATACAGTTGGGCAACCCCGTTCTTCGGTATAAGTTAGATCTTCTAGCGGAACAAGAATTATATGCATCGGAAGGGATGATCTCGAGAGTGTTGCATCAACAAATTTTGAAACGTTGCAATGGGGTCAACGAAGACAACTATTCAAACAATGTCGGCCCGTGGTCTGAATCATGTCAACAAGCCATGGGTATATCCCAAATGATAGCTTTCAACGTAACTTCTGTCGATCAATCTAGGCAAAGACAGTTTGATATTAGTCGTACCCCATGTGATGGGACTATGGAAGATCTAAAATCAGGAAAAGAGGTATTATTTACTTTCTTTTTGTTTTTTTTATCTTATCGATTTTAAGGCTTCGTTCTGATTAATCAGGAAAAAAGATTTTCTGTATACACAAGTATTTGAACTCGAAACTTTGTTTAAGCGATATCAAAATACCTACTACTTGAACCAACATTGTTGGTTTATTTACTTTCTTTTGTTTGTATTCGGCCAATAATTGAGACTGTTGAGTTTAAAATTTAAATCTTGATCCTAAAGAACGTGATCTCTTAAGAATATGTAATGCTCAATTAAATTATATACAATTGTACTCATTTTATTTGGTATTTCATGTCACAGATTACTAAAGTTATCGATGGATGTGATCTATGCCTTACTGTTAGACCAAATTTTTATTTCAATATTCCTGAAGTTCAGAAAGTCTTCCATGCAAATCGAACCAATCTAAAATTCGAATGGTCCGGTTGTATACCGTGAGTTATATCTATCTATCTATTTATATGTGTATAATTTTTTTTAAAGGATAATAGTGATTTTTTTACAATGTATGGAAATTTAACAGGATGAGTGGCCTCAAATACAACCCAACTGACATATATAATGACATGCTTCCGACGTTGAAGCAAATTCTCCAACAATCTGTTCCTATTACCATATTCAGGTTGAGTTATGCTTCTGACATAAACTCTGTTTCTAAACTCGACATGTATTAATCAACGTCTTTTTTCTTTTCGTTTTTCTAAAGTGGTGACGTAGATGGAGCAATTCCTCTGATTGGAAACTCGGAACATGTTAAAAAGTTAGCCAAGGACATGAACATGAATTTAACCAAAAACGAAACTTGGAATCATGAGAACAAGGTTATTGCTTTACCCTTTTTTTTAATTCTTTTATTTATTATAATAATGGAGTTTAAATTAGAATATGATAATAATTATTAATTAAATTAGCAGGAAGGAGGGTTGTTGTACTTGTATGGAGATCTATTGACTTTCATGACAGTAAAAGGAGCTAATCATCATGTGCCGTTATCTAGACCATCTCAAGCTTTGTATATCTTCTCCAACTTTGTGATTAATTAACCATATTAAGACCACATGATATTATGATGTAATTTCATGTAATTTCCAGTAATAAACTATATTTCGTAATTCATATATACGTATTTTTTTCATGTATTCTATTATTTTTATATTTGTGTTTAAAATATTTTATGTGACCATACAATACATTACCATGAAGTCATGTACTTATTCGGATTATTTGTTTTCGTAATTTAATGTTGTTCACAAGATCTTTTTAAAATAATTAAAAAAAAATGATCTCTTTACTACCATAGTACGAAAAGAATAAAATATTTTCAATACGAATATATTATCAAATACACCTTTCTGCATAAATGTGTTCAAGGATCAAATTATTCTTAAAATTGAGGGTTTGTTCACAATTTAGAGGATTTGAATAGGAATTAAACTAGAGAAATGGGCTGAGTTCAACAAACCCGTTTTATAAAGTGGAATGAGCCTTTGAACTTAATTTTTTCCCTTATAAATACATCAAATTAAATTTAGGGTAAACATCTGGGATAGTACTATAATGTATTTTTAGTTGTGTTCCCCGATTATGAAGAGTTACTAAATACTATAATGTATTTTTAGTTGTGTTCCCCAATTATGAAAATTTACTAAATAGTAATACAAATTATTGAAAGTTATAAAGTGATTACTGACTGGTAACTTTTAAATGAAAATTTCACGTGATGATTAATAAAATTAATATAATAACAAATTCAAATTGCACAAACATTTTTTTCGTCCCTTCAACTACTGATTTGTGTGTTGGATTGTGTGTCAAGAGGTGCGACACAATACTTACCGCACCTAATTAACACAATAATTTTAACATTTACAAGTGATAGGTATATAAAAGTTAACAAAAAGATCTAATCCTACAAAGATAAGAAGTCAAATGTGTACACAAGGCAAAGTTTATACAATGCATAATTGGGTTGACTATAATCAGATTGGATAATCTAATCTAATCTTTATCTTTGATACGTTACCGCAAGATAGAGGATTCATCGAAGATACCAATCTTGGATCTAAAATGAATAAAGAGATTCCTTTCAAGCGTTTTGGCAGAGTGTCTGCAATTTGAGCTTTGGATGGGATATGTTGAACCAATAGTAAACATGCAGTAACTAATTCACAAACAAAGAAATAATCAAGTGCAAAATGATTCATAAGAGAATAAAAGACATATTTTTTTTACAAATATATGTGGCACTGAGATTGTCGCAAAAAAGATCTGATGGTGGTTCGCTTAATGCAGTAGATGATGAACCCAAAGTACATCAATAGTTGTATTTGCCACAACATGATATTCTGCTTCTGTGGAAGAACGAGAGATTGATTTCTAACGAGCTGACTTCCATGAGATGAGATTAGAACCAAGACAAATATCATATTTAGTAGTTGGTTTTTTCCTCCGTGGAGGATCCACCTAATCCGCATTGAAAAAGGCATTGAGATGAAGTGAAGATGTCGAACGAAGAGAATGCTATGGCATAACATACCTTTTAGATAATGCAAGATGCGTTTTGCTGCTGTCCAATGTGCAAGTAAGAGACCATACATGTACTGCGATAGATGATTAACAACAAAAGTAATATTCGGACGAGTAAGTGTGAGATGCTTAAGGAGTTAAAGTAATCGTCAATAATTCGAGATATATAGTGACATGGATGACTCAGGAGAAGGTAGTTTGTTAGAAAAAGAAATAGGTGTGAAAATTATCTTGGTATTTTTTGATAGGTATGGCTCATAAATAGGTACGGTACAAGGTCAATTATGTAATTATGTACCAGGTTTTTTTTATTATAAATACAGATGTAACCTAAACCAATGAAACATTGAAAAAAAAATTTCTAGCGCCGCCTAGCCATCGAGGACGTAAGCACATTGCCGAACCTCGTTAAAATTCTTGTGTTCTTTCATTTACTTTGCTCGATTCTTCAACAATTGGTATCAGATGTCAGGAGCAAAATTCGAAGTTGCGAAATTTGATGGTCAGGGTAACTTTGGATTATGGCAAACGAGGGTGAAGGATCTGTTGGTGCAACAGGGGATCCTGAAGGCTTTGCGACCTACAAAGCTGGCATCGATTGAGGAGGAAGATTGGGAAGAATTGCAACAGCGAGCGGCAGAAACAATACGATTATGTTTGGCGGACGAGGTCATGTATCACGTCATGCATCTGTCATCTCCAGATGAAATTTGGAAGAAGTTGGAAAGTCAGTTTATGTCCAAATCATTAACGATAAAACTGTATCTAAAGCAGCAGTTGTATGGGCTGAAGATGCAGGACGATCATGATTTGGCGCAACACATGAATGTCTTCAATCAAATCGTTTCTGATTTAGCTCGGCTTGATGTGAAAATTGAGGATGAAGACAACGATGATTCTGTTGTGTTCGTTGCTTCCCTCTTACGAACACATGATGACTACTCTTACATATGGGAAATAGACTATCAATGTTGAGGAGATTACTGAAGCATTGTTGGCTCACAACCAGCGGAAACAGAATGCAGGGGAAAGCTCTCAAGTCGATAGTTTATATGTCAAGGGTAATCGAGACCGTAGACGGAAGCCAGAGAAGGCAGGGTCTGGCAAGCGGAATTTCAGATCCAAATATAGGGATAAAAAGACAATTCACTGTTACAAGTGCAAGGAGGCGGGACTGTCCGAAGTTGAAAAAAAAGATTGATGAGAAGCGTGATGATTCATCCAAGTCTGTGAATGTGGTCGAGGATGACAATTCTGATTGAAGTGAGGGTGATATGCTCTCTATTTCAATGGCTCAATTGACAGATGCTTGGATTCTTGATTCTGGATGTTCTTCTCACATCACGCCAAATAGGGAATGGTTTTCGACATACAGGTCGGTTAATTTTGGTTCTGTTTATTTGGGTGATGATCAATGTTGTAATATTGTTGGTATTGGTGAGGTCAGAATTAAGATGTATGATGGCTATGTTTGGACGTTGAGTGGTGTTCAACATATCCCAGATTTGAAGAAGAATTTGATTTCTTTGGGCACTTTGCACAAGAATGGTTTTATCCCTAAGGCTGATGAGGATAGGGAAACCATTTGGATTGTTAAAGGAGCTTTGACTGTGATGAAAGGAAAGATGACTGCATGGAATATTTACTGATTGTTAGGGAGTACCGTTGTTGGTGGAGTTCATTTTGTTGAGTCCTGTGATGATACTACCAAACTGTGGCATATGTGTCTTGCTCATCTTAGTGAACGTGGTATGGCTGAATTACATAAAAGAAATCTGTTGCATGGTGTTAAAAGCTGTAAGCTCGATTTTTGCAAGTATTGTGTTCTTGGTAAATAGACTAAAGTTCGTTTCAAGACTACGAAGCACACAACTCAAGGGATTCTTGATTATTGCACTATGATATATGAGGGCCTTCCACGACATCGTCTCTGGGCGGATCTAGATATTATGTTACTTTTATTGATGATTTTTAACGGAAAGTTTGGGTGTATTTTTGAAACAGAAGTCAGACATTTTTGAGAAGTTCAAGCTGTGGAAAGCTGAGGTAGAAAACCAAACAGGATGAAAAATCAAATGTTTATGGTCTGAAAATGGTACGGAGTACACATATTCACAGTTCTTACACTTTTGTAAGGAGCAAGGGATTAAGAGACATTTTACAGTGCTCAAGATACCACAACAGAATGGTGTTGTGGAACGGATGAACATGTCGTTGAATGAAAGAGCCAGATGTTTGCGGTTGAATGCGGGGCTTCCCAAACACTTCTGGGCCGAGGCTGTTAACATGGCGTGTTATCTTATCAACAGATCGCCAATGGCATCATTGGCTGGGAAAGTTGCAGAAGAGGTATGGACTGGTCATGATGTTAGTTTTGATAACTTACGAATTTTTGGTTGTCCTTCTTATGTGCATGTACCTGCTGATGAGAGATCCAAACTTGATGCAAAATCAAAGGAGTGTATTTTTTTCTGGGTTACAAGAAAGGTGTCAAAGAATTCAAGTTATGGGATCCAGTTGCGAAGAAAATTGTGATCAGTAGAGATGTTGTTTTTGATGAACAATCCATGTTGCAGCAGAAGAAAGAGACGACAATGGTGGATTTTGAGCAGTTTTCAGTTGAGAACCCAGAAACTTCTCAATCGACTTCTGGTGGTTCCGTTACGGATGATTTGCAGGATTATAGTCTCGCCAGAGATAGGGTGAGACGGACGAATATAAAGCCCCCGAGCAGATTGGGTTTTGAAGACTTGGTCTCTTTTGCACTTACTGTTAGTAGTGATGATCCGGTTACTTTTCATGATGCCGTTACTAGTTAGGAAAACGACAAGTGGATGGCTGCCATGGTTGAGGAGATGGAGTCTTTGAATCACAATCGTACATGAGAGTTAGTTCCCCTTCCTGAGGGTAAGAAGTCGATTGGTTGCAAATGGGTGTATAAGAAGAAACCAGCAGTAACAGAAAAAGAGGGGGAGAAGTTCAAGGCTCGCTTGGTAGCAAAGGGTTTTTCACAGAAGAAAGGAGTTGATTATGATGAAATATTTTCTCCTGTGGTCAGACACACTTCAATCCGAGCAGTACTTGCATTGGTGGCTAGTAGAGCAGATGGGTGTTAAAACTGCTTTTTTGCATAGTGATTTAGAGGAGTAGATCTACATGCGACAGCCTGAAGGTTTCACTCAACTTAGAAACGAGCATTTAGTTTACAGATTGAAGAAATCTTTGTACGGGTTGAAACAGTCTCCGAGACAGTAGTATAAATGGTTTGACTCTTATATGATCACGATTGGCTACAACCGATGTGAGTATGATTGTTGTGTCTATATTAAGAACCTTGATGATGGTTCTTTTATTTTTTTTGTTACTGTATGTTGATGATATGTTGATTGTTGCGAAGAACATGATGATGTTATCGGTTTGAAAATCTTATTGAGTCAGAAATTTGATATGAAAGATTTAGGTGCTACAAAGAAAATTCTTGGAATGGAAATTTGCAGGGACAAAGACTCAAGGAAATCGTGGCTATCTCAACGGGGTTATGTTGAGAAAATACTAGAAAG